TAGTATATGTGGGATTGGATCAGTTTGGTAAAATTTAGTTAATATTTAAATACATCCCATGTCCCATTACACCAAGCAGTCAACGAATGTAGACAATACATTGCATGATGGGTAAAGTGAGTAGAAATTGGCGAGTATACATTTTCTAGTTAGGTACAGGAAGAGAGAGAACTGGTTCAGGAAATTCATGAATAAACAAATCCAAGATGTAATATGGATCACAAATACTGAATACAGTACTGAATGTTTTTAAATATCACTGTTGTTCATTCAGAATAGAGGTGAACGCAAAGTTTAATATATATTGTCATTTTGAAACTATTTTTTATAATATTTTTTTTTTTAAAAATGCTTCCAATCTCACATCAAGCCTTATACAGACCCCTGACTAACCACAATCCCTTACCCTAATTTCATTAGTATTGCCTGATTCTAAATTATTACAGTAGCTGACAATTACGCTTAAATAAAAATGTTTGACTGTACGTAAAGTAAATTTACTTTTGTTTACTAGATTAACTGGTCTTCCACTTTTCCTGGCTTACTGGTCATCTTAATTTCCTATTAATTACAATACGAGTCACATTGTAAGATTTTGGTTTTTGTTTTGATGTGTGTGGAATCAAACAGATTCAAAAATGTTTACTGCGTCTCACAGAAATGACTCCTTCGATATTTACTACATTAAGCGGTTCGATAAGTACTCAAAAACAGTAAATAAAATCATAATGTCAACCCATTGCTTAATTTGGTTCAAATGTACCAGATTATTGGATGAAATTAAGTGCATAGCAGGGTAAATCATAAGCGTGTTGGGCACTAGCAGGAAACACACGTGGGATACGGATACCTTTCTCGGCGAGCAGCTCGCTGAGTTTCGAGTGCCTCAACTAATTCTTTGGTTTCCAGAGAAATTTCAGGTTTGCTGTCAGTCCTAGTGGAATGGAGAGTGGAATGATGCAGGAGAAGATAGACAGTAATAATTATATGAACACAAGCAGAAAAGTCCATGCAACATTCAGAGATATGTGCTTAGTAACTAAAAGAATAAGGAGATAAGTGGCTGCTATGGCCAACCATAATGTCCTATGTGATAACCTATAATGAAATAATCCTGTTACAGAATGGAGGAGTTGGGATGTGGGACGAGATATACAGGGTGAGGGTGAGGGTGAGGATTCATTGCTTAACTTTTTCACCACCTGTTCCTTCTTTTCATCACAAATTCAGAAAATAGTCTTTTTGGTCTGCACTTTCCTTCAGAAGATTGGGACAAAAATATTCTAAAGTGGATTTGATTGCGGATATTATTACAATTATCATATTTGCCATTTGACAATCAATTTATATAGAGAACGGCAAACATTGTAAAGCTGTCTTGTCTGTACTTTGAAATACTCTGAATACCAAGCTTTTTTCACATCATAAACTTGTGAAAACTCGCAGATGTATATAGATACATCAGATATTGAGTGAAGATTGGTTTTAAATATCTTAATTCCCCTGATAGAAGTGCTATGTGAACTAAATACCTATGCGCCCTAGAGGGCTATCCTGACTGGTTTGTTGTTTTTCTATACTTCTAGACAATTAACCTCTTAGTGTCCAGGGACGATGTACACTATTCAAGTATTTTTATCCTGTGTAGGTAGGTGTGACAAGTCATGAATGAGCTTTGTACTTCTGCTTTTTCACCATGACTGCTTTGGGGCAATGCTGCATGATTACAGGTTTCTGACATGGCCAGGTGATGTAGGGGTTGAATCAACAAATAAGATTTGAAAGATGGCACACAGAGATGTACCCCACCGAATTTGTACACCAGATGACATCCACTCCTTGACCCAGTAACTACGCAATCAGGGCTGGTATTGGATTAAACTTTTCACCACCAGTTCCTACTTTTCATAACGAATTCACAAAATAGTCCTGTTTCCTTCAGAAGATTGGGACAAAAATAGCCAATTTTTTTTAAAAACTGAAAATCGATTATAATTTTGTTTATTGGCTCCAAAATTAGGGTTCATTTCCAGAAATATTGAAGAATATAAAAAAAAAGTGCAAAAAAAAAATTTGGTGAGAAAGACTGGTGGTGAAAAGGTTAAACCAACGTCTGGAGTTATAAAATTCCTGGCACAACATCAAATTTGGATACTAAGATTGGGTTGGATTTTACAAATAAGCATCATAGCTAAATGTTATGTACAAAAAATAGCCTTTTTCTTCCTTTTATTTAGTCTACCATATGCAGGTGCAATGTAAACAGCATTAGGGTCAAGTAACTGGTCACTACTGTTTGGCCAATATTTGTAGTTCCTATCTATCATGATTGTCGCATCAAAAGATGATAAAAGAATAAAGATAAAATAAATGAAAGAAATATAATCATGAGTGTGATATTTTGATAGGAAGGAAAGAGAAAAGCATGATGGGACAGTATGCAAATGTTTACAAAGAATCATGGGAGATAATCTCTATCATTATAATGTACTGCTTGCAGTAGAAGATGGAATGTTCTGAAAGCAAGTAGTATGGCGAGAGATTCCACATCTATTTTTAAACTAATAAAGTTTTAAGAGCTACACAAGGTATTTACATGGCACGCATGACTACTGTATTTAATGTAACCCACACTGCCAACTACAAATGAACGCCCAACTTTCTTGTTTTGAAACATGCCCTATACATGACCCCTAAAGGTCACACATGCTGGCTCTTTTCTGGCGGTACAGAACTAATTGAAGATTATTTATACACATACAAAGAACAGTTTAATTTTCAAAAAAAATTATGGTATAGCACATTTTCATGAATTTTCCTAATTCATTTTCAAAAAAAAAAGTTGAAAGCACAATAGCCAAAATGCCCCATGAAGGAGGAAGTATTGCCCTATGGAGGAGCGAGTCGTATTGGTCTATGGCCGAAGGGGTAGTTTTGCCGTATGGAAGGAGCAGTTTTCCCTTCATGCTCACATGTTTGTTTCATCACTACATCTACTACATTCCTTAATTTATTTGAAAAGTAAAGACTTTCTCACCTTGGGCTTTCCTCTGCAATTACTGCTGAGGTTGCTGAAACTTTGCTTTTATCATCCACAGTTTTTATCTTATTCTCTGTCTCTTGTGTCTCCATGACAATAGGACTAACATCTATTGTTCTTCGTCTCCTTGGCAACACATCTGGAGATTCATCATGCAAACTTGTACTCTTGGCTAGTCGGGAACGTCGTGATGATGCAATATCCTCATCAATATTCCTTGATGTTTTGGACGATGTTGTATCAGTATCAGTACTCGGAGTTCGCTCAAGACCATACTTTTTTCTCAAGTATGAATAGTCATCTTTGTCCAACTTTTGAATTGATACATCAGATGCCATTCTCCGTGGTCTTGTCTCACAAGGTGCATCCTCTTTATCTTTTCCAATCAAAGCCTCCGCTCTTCTCAACGTGTCAGTAGTAAGACCTAAATCTGTATTGCTTCGTTTTGAATAGCGAAGTCTTCGACTTGGAAGATCATCAGCTGTAGAATCTAAACTACCCACAATTCCATATTTTTCAGATAACTGTTTCCGTCGTTGTTCTTTATATTTTGCAATTCGTTGTGCTCGAGCATCGCTATCCTCAGACGAGTCCGCAGAAAGTTTAGTATCCATGGCGATGACCCGCTCCGTCTCTTTCGGTGCTACTGCTTGTTTTGCAAGAAGTAAATCAGTAGCAGTTGGAGGTGTGACTCCATTGGTGGTAATATGAGTTTTATCCTCTTTCTCATCCTCCTTTTTCTGAGAGCGGTATTTTTGACGATCTGAAAGACGAGCCATAAGAATCTCATCTGTCCTATCTCTAGTCCGTGCATATCGCGATGAGTATGTATCATTTCCTGAGCGATCCACAATATCTCTCGATGATCGTCGTGACAATAAATCCTCATCTCGACTTAAGTTTCTCCTTGTTGTATAATCAATATCTTTAGTCCTTGATGTTTTGGAATCAGCGTCAATAAGATCCTGTCTTGTTGATTTTAAAACCACATCATTACTATGATGCCTGTCGTCCTTTACCTTCGTGGCGTTATCAAGGAGTGCTTTCCGTGCCGCACGAGAATCAACATGGTCTTTGTTATATTTAGCATCATTTGTCCGATCTTTCAAGCTATCATCCGTATATTTTGATAATATTTCATCACTAGTCCTATGATTGTTATCAAGATGAGAATGCCGATGATCATAATCAAAGCTTTTTGAACGTTGCGTGTCCATGATTCCATAACTGGGACTTAACCTTGGGTAGCTATCTGTGCTGGAGGTTCTATCTTTCAATGTGTTATCAATTTTCACGTCCTTCTCACTACGCGACACAGACGACTCCGAAGAATCGCTTCCCATTCGTCTCCTTGGACTAGACGGAAGGTCATAATCCCTTTCAGATGTTAAACGCGAATACCGCTTATGTGACTCATCTCTATTGCGGTTACGATGGTATCGATCCGGTTCAGTGTCTGCATTACGAAATGGTTCCCGCCAGGACTTTCCTTCTGTTTTTCTCAAAGGGCTTGATGGGTTGCTGGAACTACGACCCACATCTCCAAATAATGCTCTTCTTTTCTCGGCTGAGGTTTCCACATGTTTTTCACTTGTAATCTTGGCTTTTAGCTTAGAAACTGTAAAAGAAATTAACAAATTTCACTTCAATAAAGTGATTACCCATGAAGCACTGCAGTCATTATATTGTACACATTCAAACGGATACATTTCACATATGCATACGAGGCATGGAACCCACATCGTACACGACAGAGCAGCAAATGTATTTTTAAGTTTGTCTCGAGTTTATGACAGGCATATTTTATTTGAAGGATTCCAACATTTTTTAGATTTTCTGCTTCAAATTTCTAAATAGGAAAGAAATCTACCGTGAAAATTTGTCAAATCATTGCAATCTAAATGAGAAGTCAATAATTTTATTGAATACAATTGTTTACTTTCACTTTTTGCAAAATTATATATAACTGACACAACGACACAGGGATTAAATTAAAGACTGGCTGGCTGAACTAGTTACAAAATTTGTCTGCCCCTGTAAATAACCTAATAAAAATTTACCTCTTTTTTTTCAAAGGGGAAAGTGTCTATTTCCAAAGTTTCCTTCAACGATTTGAATGTTTTAATTAAAGGGCAGTGGTCATTACGCCACATCTCAGTCAATATGGGACTCACAGCAGTGTACAAACTTGTGTAAAATGCATTGTGTGCTCACAGAAAAATTCAAACAGCACACAAAGGGCCTTTAAATTATTAATGTCCAATTTCTGTAAACATTACATTGGGATGGGCATGTTATATCTACAACCTTGAGGCTGGACAGTTCACATATAATTACTAGATATGTAAAGTTGAGAATGCATGAAATGTACTACCAAATAAAGTAGTTACACCAAGCCTTGTAGTATGAACACGCTCAAAATAACTATATACTCAATTTGTATTGTAGTTGTCATGAAAACTATGTATGCACACATGCACTACGCTACAAGGTTCTACATGCCAAGGAGGTGACACAAAAGAAAAATGCTACTTATTGAAAATCTGTAACATGTACTCTCAAAATTTTTGTCAATTTTTTTTTGAAAAAATTTGAACATTACCGTAAATGCATTAATTATTCACAGGTTTTTAATTTCGCTATTTTCACTGAAAAGTAAAATCCGCTAAATTAAATCTACATGAATATGTAAAATAACTAGAAAACTCATTGTTTCCTTGACAATTTCATGAATATGTCCAAAACATCAAAATAATGAAATTAAATGTCAGTAAAAATAAATGGTTTTAAAGTATCGCATTTGCTCTATTAGAAGCGTTTCTCAACATATACCACATGGAAACCCAAATCGTAAATCATTATTTTTACCATAGAAATATCTTAATAACGTGTAACGTGTATGCACTACTAATAGAGCATATATGGTATGTCATGTAATGTTGAAGTCAAAATGTAACCATATTACATTTTTAATTTGATGATTTATTTCTGTATTTTGAACAATTGTTTTACAAAACAGCCAGAGTGAGGTATGGGAAATTACATAACTTTGCATATACACTGGCAACTTGAGTGAATACGAATATATATATTATGTAGTTTACTTGGCAGTGCCTCATATTACATTTGTGAAATTATAATAAAGAAAAAATCCTTTCTCTGAATTATATTATATCATAATTTTAATCATCCACCACCAGTTCTTTCTTTTTATCACAAATTTGTGAAATAGCCCCGTTAGAACAAAAATAGCTAATTTTTAGAGTAAAAACTGAAAATTTACTAAAATTTTGTCTGTTGGCTGTAAAATTATGGTTTATTTCCAGAAATATTGAAGAATATAAAAGAAAAATTGCAGAAAAATTTGGGCGAGAAAGTCTTGTAGTGAAAAGGTTAACCAATTTGTCACTTCTAGATGAAATTTATGAAAAATAAAATTGTAATTCAAATTTTTGGGCATTTTTTTCAAATTTTGGGAAAATGGACATTTTTATCTGAAAAGCACTTATTAAGTAGCAGACTTCTTTATGTTGCATGAATTCATTACAAGGATGTTAGCTTAGTGAAGTAGATGGTTAGTCAGTTCCCAGTTTTTTGCGATGCAAAAATACTGAAAACGGAACTTTACCCGTACGTGACATTTCTTCATCAACGCTGTATTCACTGTCGGTGTCTGTATCAGAAGATGATGACGAAATGTTCTTTATACGTTGTTTCCTGAAATGAAAAAAGCAAATAAATATTTTGATTTAGAACACCCTGTTCTACAGTAACAAATCTAATTTGCATAATATCCCATATTATTGTTGTTTTGCTACTTCCTCCCTGATAAAGACAGACTTCACAGTCAAAGACATATTGAACAAAAAATTGGGCTAGTAGGTTTCAAAGTCAATATGATATCAATTTTTACAAAAAACAACGAAAATATTCACTAAAAATGGAAAATTTACGATATTGTCCTGAAATTTAACGATTTGGAACGAGGTCACACTGGGACACCAACTACTCAAATATGGAAGTACCATAAATCAAATAGTAATTCTTAATAATCAGAGCCATTTATGAAAACTCTGGATGCTGCATGGACATTCAGTCCTACAGTACCACCTACAGTACCAGTTTTTTTGTCTCTAAACGTGTTGTGCACATATTTGAGCAAATCACAGAGCTGGAGTTAAATGCGTGACTGAATAGTACAACTGATTTAAAAGATTAAATTTACCTTTCCTCTGACTGTTGGTATTTTCTTCTTGTTGTTTTACCTTCCCTTTCTAGCACCTCCCTCCTCCTAGCAGAGCTTGGGCTGCCAGGTTCTATAGTAAACAATAAAAAATAACAAAAATGATCAACATTAATTTCAAAAAAATATTAACATCCATAACTCTATTAAAGGTAGATGCAAAAACTGTTATTACCAGTCACTGGTAGCATAGTGGTTGTCGCATCAGATTCATGATCGGTAGACCCAAGTTCAAATCCTACCTTAGGCTGAACATCAAAGGGTCAACCCCTACCCTGGGTGAGTGTGGCACAGACTCAATGGGAAGGCCAATTCCACAGGCCGAGATTCATTCACTAACGAATGCGACTTTGGGGGAACCTTGGTTAAGGTCTGCAGGTGCTTGTGTTCGACCGAGCCAGGTTGACGCCAGGATAGCGCATTAAATTGCCATTTGATAGAGAGATGGCCACACAGCCCTGTCATGTAGTCCCAAACATGAATATGACTTCTGTGGCAAAATGCACTATGTGTCAGCACTAGCACTTGCAATGTGCACTTACAAAAAAAAGTCAGTGACATTCAATGTCCGGAACTGTCGCCTGGCACAAAAACATTTAAAAAAAAACTGTTATGAACTGGATACAGCTTTCAAGACTTGAGTTTGCACGATGGAACACGTACATTGTGATGACTTATTACATATACCTAACAGATAATATCGTCACGTCATAGTAGAACACACCAATAGTAAATTAGTATACGTGTACATGTCAAAAGTGTCTGGACTCTTCAAACCGGTACATAACTCATTTGAATGAATTACGCCAATGGTAAGCACTTTAGAGAAGTGTACTGATTGCTGTAGTAATAAAGTAACCACGGAAACAGACAATAACACAGACACTTTATTATATCATACTGGAGAAGGTGACATGGCTGTATTGACAGACATGTCGCAGCTACTGTACTCTCATAATCCCTTTTTGTTGAAAAACAGATTAAGTTGACATTTTTTTCTCCCATGAACAGGTCAATGTCCAACAATCTGAAATACATTCCAAGACAACGACATAGTTTTACCTGAATAAGGACATCTCATACACACTTGAATAGGTTACGAAATTCAGGAGAATGCAGAGGCTCGTTTATATTTCACTCTAATTATATTGCTCAAAACTGTGCACAATGTTTTTCAATAACTTTAACCAGTGATAATTTACTTAATTAGTATGCATTTCAGGAAATCAATGTATGGTTATGCAATAAGATCATGTGTAGAATTCACTCCTGCATGAAACTACCATAGTAGTGCCAAACTGGTTGTCGGATGAATAGTTTTGCAATGCTACACAATTGTAAGGCCTGTATATTTCTATGTTATTATTCTGTAAGAAATTGCTGATTACAGAAATGATTTCATCTATTCGTAAAACGAGGAGCGACTATGACATGTTTCATCCAGAGTAAATGATGCATTATCCTGCCCATCCTTTCTGTGGTATATGGTGTATTTCACCATGGCTTGCATAATTAAAAATACGTCCTCAACCAATCAGAACAACATACAAGTATTCAAGCAATTGAACTGCTGGTATAATGCTATTATTGAAGTAATGTTTAAGGTTAATTGTTCATCATTTAACTAAAGACCAAGCAGAAATGATGTTATCTATGTGTAAAACAGATGTTGTTGACGCTTGAAAAACAAGTGATTATGAACCTGGTATTTTGAAACGTTCCCAGTTTCAGACAAACTCCCATCACTTTTTGCATAATATGCGCGAGATATAGAGAGGACAATGACCTGAAGCTTCAGTGCAACGATTCTGAAATCTGAAGACAGTAAGAAGTGACATCAGCTGTAGGAGTATAGCAATGGTAGGTTAAATGTCAATTGAAAGAATCAATAAACACTAGAATTACAATTAAGTTAGGGTGACCTAACATTGAGAAATCACACCGAGCTAGGTCACTCAAAAAGACCTTTTGACATTTTAACTACAAAGTATTTGAAGTTTTTAGCGATCTGGGTTCCTTATTAAGTGTTAATGCAAATTCCATAGAATAGAACAGTAGTAAGACATATGATACACAGATATAAAAAAGAACAGTTTGAGTATCTTTTAAATTCTCATCACGATTACCTTATTTGAAAAAAAGCCATGTTGCTTGAAATCCCAATATCAGTGAGTAGACACTATTCAGATGGGACAGGGTATTATTTAATTTTATTTGAAACATACACAATAGGCTATGTAAAGTCTAACAAACATGAAAATAAAACTACCAACTTATTTTTAATATAGAGAGAATTGAAAAAAAAAATGCAGAAGATGACTCTGCCGAAAAATAAACATAAACTGAAATGATAATAACTTGTCTTCAATCAGTTGTCATGGAAACCTGGTTCCATGTCCTCAGTCATGTGTAGCTTTACTAATGTCAGAGAATTCAAAGATAAAGTGCGAAAATTACTCCGAGTCAACGAAAAATCTTAATGTGCACCTTAACATGGTTTATTGGGTAAAAATATCAGAAGAAGCAAAGATATGTAAACAAAAATGGCAGCAAGAGTAAACAAAGCAAAGAGGATGGGGTGGTATTGACTGCATATGATAAGAGCAAACAGTCTAAAAAGGGATTGAATAAACAGATACTGCAAGAAAGCTAACAAAGCTGATGAAAAAATGATCAGTAATGTGAATAGATTGAAGACAAATAACATACACTACGAGGATGAGTAAAGTTACTATATACACATGATAAAACCGAGAACATGGTTTGTAAAGTCTGAGAAATGTCAAACTTTTGCTATACAATTGTACTGGTAATATGAAGAAATGACAAAACTGTTGATGTACAGTGAAAAGTGAGGTAAATAAACTTACATTTTGTATGCAGTAAATCTATGTCGCAGAACTATACCTTGTGTAGACGCCATGTGACATTAAAACCCAAGAATAGAACATGACATCAGCTGACAGACGTTTTAACGTGATGACACATTGTTTGTAAAAAGAATTTTCAAAAACAATAATTTTCATAAAAAGGGTGAAAATTAAAAGAAACAACAATTTTTAACTGTTTTTCAACTTTCTAGTTTGAAACTTGGAGGATATTTGTTAAACTTGATAGAGTAGAAGATTTTGGAGGGAAAGATGTCAACTGTAGGGCCTCTTAGTTGGTATGTAAACTGCTTCCATAAATAGTATAATGTCATTAGATATCTTATTCCAAATATGGTTTGCTTAGATAGTTTAGGGATTAAGTCCATGAAACAATATTATAAGGGACTAACCAACGCAATTATTGGCACGTAATGAAATTAGATCTTATGCAGGGCAGAGGGGTACCATAATTTGCAGCATCAACAATATGAAAATGAAGGAAAATTAAATCGAATACGCACTGGCAATCCACAGTTGTTGTGTTTACTTATAGTCGATTTCAATGTTCAGTAGATGTACATATCTACCAAAAGGGTTCATCTGTCAATTTCAAAGCAGTATGACTGGAACATACAATGGATACCATTAAAAAAATAATCACTAGTTGGCCATTTTTGATGATCATGATACAAAGTTTTGTTTATTTTTGGGAAATGGTTCTGGACACATTTATACAATCTGTGATTTTAAGATTTTAGACAAAATGGCAGTTAATTATCCAAATTTAATCAAATCACAAAGCACAACCAATGGTATAATCTATTTGTGTGCAAATGTTCAACTGAATTAGGCAATATATTAGTGTGGAAGCATCATCTATATTAATAAAAACAAAATGGTTATTATTTGTTTCCGAATAAAATGTACCTCTAACCGAATATGCATAATCATGATACAAAATTTAAATGAAAATTACCTGTTCACCTCTGAGACAGTTCCAGATGTGTTTAAGAATTTGAAATTTTCTTAGCCCCTCACCCTCATTTTCAAATGTTCAACCCTGATAATCTGACAAATAACCACACTCGTTTTTTCAATAATTCTACAAAAGATGAAATGCACACTCCTTTCCAGTACAAGCCAATTAATGTTTAATCCTCCGTCTGGACAAAATGTTGGTGGAAAATTGATTTGATGTTCAAAATTTGAAAACAAAACTTTTGCACTCAAAAGGTTACACTAACATTCACTGAATTTGTCAGAAATTGTTAATTTTACTCAGCTGCCACATCAATTGAAATGAAATGTCACTGAATAATTGTTGTTCAAATCATCAGTCTCTGTGTGTGTTCTTAAAAAGATACAACATGCACACAAGGAATGGTTACATGTACTTGCATGTACCCAAGGATAACTTGAGTTGAAAGTAAAAAGACAATACTGGTTGTCTGATGTTCTATGAATACAAACTCAGAGCACTGCATGCCATGTGATGACTCACATTGAAGAATCTTCAGTTCAAGGTATAGTATTTCAACCAATCTAACCACGAGTAGTGTCACTCTACTGTCCACAGCAAAATGGATGAAAACATGGAAACTTCATGGGGTCAAAGGGCAGAATGGGTCCAAGGTCATCAGTCTGTAATATTGTGAAAAGCCCTCAAGTGGTAAACTTTTCACAGTAGCCACAGTGACAATTAATTAATTTAGTCAGAGTAATGGTAAATATGACAGTTCTAACAAGATTATAAAGAAATTTTTTTATTTGAATTTAAAAAGCAAACGTACATGTATTATGGCAAAAACATGCATAAAAAAATGGAAATTCATTAATCACGGTCTATGTCTCTTCACTTCATTTTGTTATATTATCCCAAATATTAGATTTATAGAAAGGTTTACTCTTTTATACTGAATAATAATTGCTGTTTATACACCCTGCTCCCTTACAAACCAGATGGTATGGCCCTAGTTACCAATTACAGCACCTGGTACAATCCAATCATTAGAATATATCTGAATATTAATTGCTGTACACCTGGCTGTTCTATTTTTAGAACAGGTTTTGATTGGACGATAGATCTGGTGGATTTAACCAATTTTAATGATTTTTTTATCCTTTTCTGAATTGTATTTTGTTTCTTGTTATTTTCATTCAAGGGTTAGCATAAGAATGATATTTTTCAAAAAAAACACCATTA